TCGTCCAACCCTACGCACGGACCCTGCCAATACTCTAACAAGCAGGGCCACGGTCCTGGGACGCCGGTAGTCCGTCCATCGATGCTTCTGATTCTAGTTTCCGCCGCGCGAGGGCAGCACCGCCCTGAACGCCGTTCGGAATGTTTGGCTCTGTCCGGCGTAGACGAAGAAGTTAACGCTCGAGTTGCAGCAGGCCATCACGGTTCCCACCCCGCGCAGCATCCCCAGCGGCTCCCGTCGCACCTCGAACACGCTCAGCAGCATCACGGCGAAGTACGGAGCCCAGCAGACAAAGAAGGCGCCGACGACGATGCTGAACGTCTTCGCCAGCTTCAGATTCCTAACCAGCGCATCGGAGAAAAAGCGAATCTCCTCCGGGAGCTCCGTCGGCTGCGAGGAACCGTTGCTCGTCGTCGGCGGCGGCAGCGGCTGGATGCACCGACGGTGTCGCCTAGCGACGAGTATCATGTACGCGTAGATGACGACGATGACGACGCCGCAGATGGCGATGAAGACGGTGTCGAGCAGCAGCGTCGCCTTGCCGCTGCTGACGTCATACAGACACGGCTCGTCGGGCGACCAGCTGTTTCCGACGAAGCTGCCGACGCCGTTGACGACGGCGACGCTCCAGCTGAGCGCGATCATGACGACGACGACGCGCGGGGTCATGACCTGATGGTAGCGCAGCGGACGCGACACGGACACGTAGCGGTCGACGTTGATAGCGATGAGCATCGTCACGGAGCCGAACGCGCAGCAGGTGACGACGGCGAAGTGGCCGACGCAGACGACCATCGGCGGCCGATCGACGACGAACGTCGCCGGCGACAGCACGCCGAGCACGCCGAGGCCGACGTCGGCGACGGCGAGGTTGGCGATGAGCGTGTGCGCCGGCTCCTGCAGGTACGGCGTGCGCGTCACCGCCAGCACGACGACGGCGTTGACGACGATGTTGACGACGCTGATGATGATCAGCGGGTAGGCGAAATGCCCTCGGGCACGGCGCCGACGTCCGTCGTACCCGCGCTGCTGCTGCCGACGACGACGCTGTCGTTTTCGAGCGCCGACAGCGAGAGGTTACTCGGAGGAACGTTGTACAATGAAGCCATCGCTCTGCCGACTGCCAACTGCGACGTAGCACGGACGGAGGTGGCGATGCGACGCCAGCGAGTGATGCACTTGATCTCACGCATTCGTACGTATATATATTCATACCCGCACCATTATCGACGGACACGGCCAATAATATGGCTTAAAGCGACGTCATGTATAATGTAAGGAACGTGTGCATTTGCGCAAGCAAGACTGTCGCCGCATCACGGGGTTTGTCGCACGAACACCGTTCAATCTAACGGTAAGGTCTGCACACTAACTCCGAGGCACCAGGTTAGGACTAGGCCCGCGGACGGATGCGTTTGAAGTGAATCATAAACAGAGGTCCTGTCTTTCAAAACCACTTGCATAACGAATTCTGACAGATTAAGCCCCTCCAATGCGTTTTAGGGAACAAAGGAACAGGAGCATTAACTTTCAGGGAACAGGGGACATTGTCGAATTATTTTCAGAGAACAACGAAACTGCTGATTGGATTTTTGGGAACAAGGGAGACTCTGATTTTCCATCTTTGCGATTTATTCACAGTTTTCTGAAACTGTTTACAATAAACGTTGATGTATTTCAGGGGCATTTCAAGATCGTGTGCTGTAGGCACCATTAGAGTCCACAATTATAGGTCCTTTTTCACTCCAGCGTCACATTTTTTGCTTCCTTCGGGAGTTCAAATTAGCGAGGTTCTACTGTACCAAACAAATATGGGGAAAAGTGGTAAATCTTTTTTGGGATTAAAGGAATTGGAAAATAAATTTTGGGATCGTGGTAACACAAGGTAAAAACATTTTAGGTAACAGGTTATTTTATTAATGGGGAACAATAGTACAGCTGCTATCGTCCAAAAAATAGCTGAATTGTTCACTTTTGTGATAAAAGCATGAAACTTTGCCCAATTACTTCTAACCATGTAATAAACAATTTGTGATATGGATCCAAGCTAGGTTAAGCTCTGGATTCGAGATCTGCGCATGTCCTAAAATCGCGGACATGAAAACGAGGCTGAAAATTTAATTGATTCGTCTAAAACCAGGCCTTAGAGTACAAAAATAAACTTGGAACTGATATATTAGTTGCATATGTGGTATCTGTGCTATAAAAGCGTTTGAAGATATGATCACGTGACGCTTTCTTTACAGTTTACGAATTTCGTTGGATACCCGTGGGGAATATCAAACATAGATACATTAGTGGAGCGGATATGTGTCTGAGGTGTGCACTTCTGAAAGAAGCATGAAAATTTGCCTCTAGGGGGTTTTTTGAGTATGCCGATTTCAAAAATTGGCGGAAAACACGATGTCACTCGCAAGCGTTTCCCGCCAAAAAATCAAAAATTAAAAATTGCGCGCAGAAAACTGTTTTTGCCCTAATTCAGCTTGTAAGTGCCCTCGATTACAATGATCTTGGTGCCTATACCTATGTTTTTTGAAGTCAAAGAATGCAATCAAACGCCATGTCAAATATCATAAGATAAAGCTTTCTGCCAAAAAGTTGCAATTCAAAAATGGCCGCCACAAAACACAGTTTTTGCCCATAAATCAGCTGTAAGTGCCGCCGCAAGTACCACGATCTTGGTCTCTATACATGTGTTTTTGAGATCAATGCACTCCATAGAACGGGTATAGAACACATGTGATCTATTATAACATCTTCCCGCCAAAAAAATTAAATCGAAAATGGCTGCACAAAACGCATTTCTTTTGCCAATAAAATGGCCATAACGTGCCACGATTACCAGGATCTAGGTGATCTATACCTGTTTTTATGTCAAGGGAATCCAATGGGAAAACATGAAAATATCCGTAACATACATCTTCAAAATTAACACATACAATATAAAATGTTTTTAGGTTCAAAGAACTTCGGTAGAACACGTGAAAAATTATGATGAAAACTTAAAAATAATGGCATCTATACTTCAGTTCATAATTTCTGTTACAGCTTTGGAAGGAACACCTGCGTGCCCGCCAAAATCGTTCCATCATGATTTTCCATGAAGACACAGTGCACGCAATAGAAGGCACCGCGCGTATGCCGTGTAAACGGCAATGCCAATGGTGTGTCCATGTATTATTAAATGATGCCATGGCAGCATCTCATATGCTCAGATTGCTTGCTTATTCTCTTTACCACTGTCCTGAACAGAAGCACAACTGTGTACATCGACGAATTTGCTTTGACACACTTGCATCTTTTTGGTACAAGACTTTTTGCATCCACATTTTAACAGTTCCTGACTAGCTTTGCTGCCTCTGGAAGAGTGGTCCAGCATGGAGTCCAATGGGGAATCATCTGTCACTCTCTCCCAGAGCCCCATAAATCTGGCGATGGAACTTCAGGGTCTCCTATAAGTGACTGTCTCCAGATGTGCCCTGCCTGCTAAACAGCCCTTTTCACATGCTGGACCAGGGCATGCAACGTTGGAGGAATGTTTTCCATCTTACGGTTTTGAGTGAGCAACTGTTTCCTGTCTTCATTCACATGGCTGAGTGCTGATGTTCGCAGATACAAGAGAACAACATATCTCTCTATTTGCCCACGGGCTTGGAGCATGGGATAACCGAGCAAATATCGGTTTGAGATGAGGCATACTGCACCAACAGCCCAAGCTGTTCTCTTTCCAATTCCATGGAAGGCAGAAACAGTATCACATCACAAGATATTGCGTGGAAGAATAGAAAACCCCATGATGCATCGTTGCCTAATTCAGCTGCAATTAGGTGGCACTGAATGTAACGTAGTTTAGCACCATGACCAAATGCTATCAATAATTTCCCAGTCCTGTAAAACACTTGACACTGCAATTGCGGTAACCACCACATCAGTATCATGCATGTATCATCAGCTTGGTAAACCCCATTATGGATGACATGGGAAGCATGAAACAGGAGCCGTGTGTCTGCTTCTTCTTGAGTGCAGAACAAATCTGACAGGTCAGCTATGGGAGATGATACAGCATTCTGGCCATGTGTGGAGATCACTAGCTTTCTGTGGAGGAGGGTTGATCTTGTATTGGCATTGGCTAGACGTTTGGAAGCAGGGCTGTCTTTGTTTGCAACACAGTGAAGGAAGCTTCTTCCAGTTTAACAGGAATCTTGGTGTTATTGTCCACCTGGAGATGAATTACCAGATCCACGGTTCTGTCGTGTTTGTGCCCTTCTAGGTGTCCTCACCTGTAGACATCCCAGACAACATTCTAGCGTGAACAAACGTCTTGTCAGCCTGTTGTTCTAAATAGGAGCAGAACACCAATTGTGAATAGTTGTGAAACTACTTTCTGACTTCAGAGCGACCGATGCAGAGTGGATGTCAATCATTATAGATGGCAGCCGTTGTGGTCCAAGATGCTCCAACCGCAAAGCTGTTAGCACTTTGAGCGAGTACTTTCAACTCCGATATTTGCGCCTACATCCTTAGGCACCTGGAAAGAAGCGCAGATATGAGCTGCTCTTGCGCCGTTGTACTCACGAGGAAGCTGATTCCCACATGATGATTCATGCACTCCATTTCTAGCGCACATGGCCCTCGACGAATAAAGATCCCGAAGTAACAATACTGATGTTTATGTGGCTTGGCCGTTTCCAATTGCTGTCCACGTTCCCCGTTTATAAGTGAGGGCTGTGATGCTCATATGGTTCTTCCCAAGGCAAGTCCGTACCACCTTCCAGCGCGATACATAGCTACATCCCTGGTTGAGAGAAAGCGCCGTGTGTTAGCCGATGTTTCACGCATTAACATGGTGTGATACGGTTTCATATTTCGGTGGAAGAGGAAAAAAGACGCGCATGGGACGTATGGAAGCGTCGTTCCGCAGAGCTCACCGCTTGTTCTTTAAGCACTTGCTGATGCTGCAGAGGAATGATTGATGATACCAGCATGAATTCATTGAGGGATCGATTTGTGTTACTCATTATATGACGCACGCAGCAGGGCCCTCAGTAAGTCAACGAAGTCAGCGGCCAAGATCTTTTCTCAGAAACGGCGCGATGCCTCGACAACATACCCTTCCACTCAAGCATCTTAGTACAACATGTCAAGAGACGCCTGTCTTCCCATTCCAAGGCGTGGTTATGTATTGGGGCCAGACCTGTTAAAGAAGCCCGCCACGTTACCGAGTGCCTCAAGATGGGGATGGCAGCTTGAAAGTGGTCCGCTGGGTGGCTTAACTGGACGTCACTCGCTCGCAAAGCCACCAGGACTCGCTGCTAGACACTCATTGCGATGTGGATGGCAAAGGCTGGTTGGTCGAAGATGCTCATGCAATGCCAGAGGAAAGCTCAAATGCTGTACTGCACTGGGTTTGTGGCGCAACTGTAGGAGGCAACTGCACTTAGCTATGGGATGCCTAGAGTAGCAAGTAGAAAGTTTTAATTGACCTGTGGTTCAAATTTGCCAAGAGCATCGTTTAATGTTAAACAGTTTTGACGCATGCTATCTCATACAGCCAAGTGTATATACCTTTGACGCCACGTAGAGAACCCGATTTAAACCCTCAANTCAAAGAACTCGGTAGAACACGTGAAAAGTTATGATGAAAACTTAAAAATAATGCCATCTATACTTCAGTTCATAATTTCTGTTACAGTTTGGAAGGTACACCTGCGTGCCCACCAAAACGTCGTTCTATCATATTCCATGAAGACACAGTGCACGCAATAGAAGGCACGCGCGTATGCCCGTGTAAAAGCAATCCAATGGTGTGTCATGTATTATTAAATGATCCATGTTAGTATCTCATATGATCAGATTTGCTAGCTTATTCTCTGTTACACTGTCCTGAACAGAAGCACAACTGTGTACACTCGAGATTTGCTTTGACACACTTGCATCTTTTTGTACAAGACTTTTTGCATCCACATTTTAACAGTTCCTGACTAGCTTTGGCTGCCTCTGGAAGAGTGGTCCAGCATGGAGTCCATGGGGAATCATCTGTCACTCTCTCCCAGCCCCATAACTCTGGCGATGGAACTTCAGGGTCTCCTATAAGTGACTGGCCTCAGATGTGCCCTGCCTGCTAAACAGCTCTTTTCACATGCTGTTCCAGGGCATGCAACGTTGGAGGAATGTTTTGCATCTTATGGTTTTGAGTGAACAACTGCTTCCTGGCTTCATTCACATGGCTGAGTGATGATGTTCGCAGATACAAGAGAACAACATATCTCTCTATTTGCTCCCTGTCGTTGGGGGATACCTGGCTTGGAGCATAGGATAACCGAGCAAATATCGGTTTGAGATGAGGCATACTGCACCAAACAGCCCAAGCTGTTCTCTTTCCAATTCCATGGAAGGCAGAAACAGTATCACATCCTGATATTGCGTGGAAGAATAGAAGACCCCATAATGCATCGTTGCCTAATTCAGCTGCAATTAGGTGGCACTGAATGTAACGGTGTTTAGCACCATGACCAAATGCTATCAATATTTCCCAGTCCTGTAAAACACTTGACACTGCAATTGCGGTAACCACCACATCAGTATCATGCATGTATCATCAGCTTGATAAACCCATGATGGAATGAATGGGAAGCATAAAACAGGAGCCGTGTGTCTGCTTCTTCGTGAGTGCAGAACAAATCTGACAGGTCAGCTATAGGAGATGATACAGCATTCTGGCCATGTGTGGAGTTTACTAGCTTCTGTGGAGGAGATTGAAACTCTTGTATTGCATTGGCTAGAAGTTGGAACAGGCTGTCTTTTTTTGCATCACAGCGAAGGAAGTTCTTCCAGTTAACAGGAATCTTGATGTTATTGTCCACCCGGAGATGATTACCAGATCCACGGTTCTGTCGTGTTTGTGCCTTTAGNACGTCAACTGTATCACGTGACCCTCCCTCCACGCCCGGGGGATAGCAACACCCCTAGTCACTCCATTTTCTCTAGCTCGGATCCTCTCTCTCATACCAAGTGACACCTAGCGTCATAAACATAATATAAGGTACAATAATACTACATTCCTCCTCATCTTTGAAGAATAACTGCATTATGTTGGATGTACATTCATACTTATTTGTCACTTGTAAAATTAAACTTAAACATTTCTCAAACTTTGTTTTGACTAGGAATACAAAGAAATACAATTTCTGGTTGCTCTTTCCACAATTGAACAAATCATAATATGTGTATACATGTCACCTCAACATATTCTAACTTTCAAAATGAAAACATTATTCTCAATAACACTCCACTGTTAATTCAAACTGTCAATAAACTGTTAATAACTGTTTTACTTTTGACAAGATTCCATATTTGCGCCTTACATCCTTAGGCAACTGGAAGAAGCGCAGATATGAGTGCTCTTGCGCCGTGTACTCACGAGGAAGCTGATTCCCGCATGATGATTCATGCACTCCATTCTAGCGCACATGGCCATCGACGAATAAAGATCTGAAGTAACAATACTGATGTTGTTGTGCTGGCCGTTTCCATTGCTCCAGTTCTCCCGTTAGATGAGCTGTGGATCTCATATGGTTCTTCCAAGCAAGTCCGTAACCTTCCAGCGCATACCATAGCTACATCCCTGGGTCGAGAGAAAGCGCGTGTGTTACCGATGTTTCACGCATTAACAGGGTGTGATACGGTTTCATATTTCGGTGGAAGAGGAAAGAAGACGGCATGGGGCGTATGGAACGTGTTCCCAGAGCTCACCCCTGTTCTTAAAGTACTGCTGATGCTGCCAGAGGATGTTGATGATACCAGCATGGATGTCATTGAGCGATTTGTGGTACTCCTATATGACAGCACGAGCAGCCTCAGTAAAGTCAACGAAGTCAGGCAAGATCTTTTCTCAAGAAAGGCGCGATCCCTCGACAACACCCCTTCCACTCAAACATCCTTAGTACAACATGTCAAGAGAGCTGTCTTCCAAGGTGGTTATGTATGGGGCCAGACCCTGTTAAAGAAGCCCACGTTACCGAGTGCTTCAAGATAGGGATGGCAGCTTGAAAGTGGTCGCTGGGTGCCTTACTGGACGACACTCTCGCAAGCCAAGGACTCCTGCTATGAACTCATTCGATGTGGATGCAAAGCTGGTTATCGAAGACGCTGCAAATGCCAGAAAGCTACCTGCACTGGGTTGTGCAACTGTAGAGGCAACTTCAACTAGCTATGGGATGCCTAGAGTAGCAAGTAGAAAGGTTTAATTGACTGTGTTCAATTGCCAAGAGCATCGTTAATTGTTATTAAACAGTTTTGACCAGCTATCTCAACAGCCAAGTGTATATACTATTGACCGCCACGTAGAGAACCCGATTAAACTCTCAAGCAAGGCGAAAGAAAAGACTTATCAGGAAGCTATATAGAATTGGGGGGTAAGCGGGCGGGGTACATTCCCACTTTCCCAGCAAAAAAACACCCCATATCCCAGTTCCAGTACAAATAAAATCCTCAAATTCCCAGCTTCCCAGTAAATTATGATAGACATGTTTCAGGAAATTCAGGTAGTTTAGGTTTTCAAACACTACATAAATACTAATATTTACATAAGTATATTTATCTTGTCATAAATAATAAAAAAAATAAAAAAAATACAAAAAATAAAAAATATTAGCCAGAATTGAAATCTCTTCTGAGAATTGGACACAATCTTTCCCAATCCAAGACAAAATATTAGAGGGTGTTTCCCACGTCCCGATGGACTTCCTATTCCCGCATACACGAAAAATTATCTACATTTCGCAGTCGCAGGTAATTAAAATGCCAATCGCCTTGCGTCCCGAAAATACCCGTTCCCGCCCTCTATATAGAAATTGTTGTGTTAATCAAAGCAGCTTACGTACTTAGGCCGAAAAAGGCCTAAAATGGCAATTGAGGATAAGCAGCATAGCTTTAACGAACCCAATCAGGGATGTAAATGGATGTATTCAGGATGTATTGAAAACATGTGAAAAGCTTTAAAATGATAAAAAAAGATAACTGGGCGTTCAGTAGTGCGAATTTTAGTGCCATGTAGGCCCTATCTATGTTTGACATTCCACTACAGGTACCCCAAGCGAAATTCGTAAAACTGTAAAGAAAGGTCACGTGGATCAACCTCACAATTTCTAGCACAGAGATACCACATATGCACAAATATATTCAAGTTCAAGTTTATTTTTGTACCCCTAAAGCTGTTTTTAAGGCAATTAAATTTTCAGCCTCGTTTTCATGTCCGCCAGATTGTTAAGGAGCATGCGCAGATCTCGAACCAGAGCTTAAAAGGGGACAGTACCTCTAGGATTTGACTGCATAACAAACTGACTTTAGCTGTATAACAAATCGTCTAATACCGCACATGTATGTTGCACCAAGAATACTTTAATTAAGATTTACACATCCAACGCTACGAAATTTGAGACGCGCCAATGACAACCCGCGAAATTTCCCGTGCGCCACCCCCCTGAAAAAGTTGCGTGATTGGATTTATATTTTGCAGGTAAAATGAACGAGGCTAATCACAAAAGTCAATTATATTTATACCTAAAATCTATTAAAACCGAAGCGATATTCATATTAGGCAAATTCCATAATTTCTAACTGAAACTATATGTCGTTTAAAATATTACAATACTTTGCTTTAAATGAATAAAATAAGAAATACCCCTCGGTCTGTAAGCCCTGGGTGGAAAAAGTGTTTTGCGCAACTTCCAGATCGTGCGCTCTGATGGCGCCAACCGTCCGTGAAAAAATCAAACTGTAGCGTTTAGTTAAAAACATTTTTTTAAAAATATTCTAATAGCGATTGAACCATAAACTTTTTAGGTACGCAATTAAACCTAAATTAGCTGAAATAACCTAGAACTTAGAGGCTACTGTTCCTTTAACCCTAGCTTGGATCCCATATGCACCAATGTTGTTACATCCTTTAGAATTAATTGTGCAAAGTTCTTGGCTTCTATCTACAAAGAGGCAACAATTCTTCGGACGATAGCAGCTCCCGTACTACCACGAAGGCTGTTTCCACGTGCTTATATTCTTCCACGTAGTGCCGAAGCGAAGGAAACGTTGTCTTGTTCCCTGTTCCTGCAAGCATTCAATAGGGGCG